TATTTTATTTTATTTTATTTTATTTTATTTTACTTAATTTTATTTTATTCAAAATTGTATTTTATTTTATTTTATTTTATTTTATTTTACTTAATTTTATTTTATTCAAAATTGTATTTTATTTTATTTTATTTTATTCCAAATTGTATTTTATTTTATTTTATTTTATTTTATTTTATTTTATTTTATTTTATTTTACTTAATTTTATTTTATTCAAAATTGTATTTTATTTTATTTTATTTTATTTTATTTTATTTTATTTTAATTAATTTTTTTTATATTCTGTATTTTATTTTATTCCGTAATTTAATTTATTTTAATTTTTTTTTATTCTAATTACTTTTATTTTATTTTATATGATCATGTTTATCAATCGGTCACATTATATTATTATATTATATTATATATGATAACATTTATCAATCAATTACAATATTATTTTACATTATATTATTTTAATTATCACATTTTATATAATATTATATTAATATAGTATAAGTTACTATATATTTACATATATAATTATTCTATAGATACTTATGTAACCAGAACTAGACGAATGACACGTTTAATTCACGACGAGGAGATACTTGACGTAGATCAAATTGAGAAAAAACTTGTTGAGAAACTCGGTAACAATGTATGCATTTATGAGAGGATATGTTCCAAGTATGCCACGAAAACGTTGCTCATAAGAAGCAGAGAACGTGTCCTAGATTGGGACGTTATATTCAGGTATGGTTAGATGACTAATCTTTCCTTATTATGAAATTCATCGTTTTGAGTTACGGATAATATAAAAACTGGTTTTCTCATTTTTCTATTAATCCTCTTTTTTTTCTTTTTTTTTTTTTTTCGAAACGTCGATACCTGTTCTAACGATTTGCTAATGTTAGTTAATTATCATAAAAAATGGTTGAATATAATTATTGTACTTCAATTATTTCAACCGTCAATATCATAAATTATCGTAACGATTACATAATTAAAAAAAAAATAAAAAAAAAATTCAATTAGAAATAAAAAAAGAAACTAAAGGACGTTGAAACTCTTGAATGTTTAATGTTACTATGACAGTGTGTAAAAATAAAAATAAAGCAATAAAAAAGGAAAAACAAATAGAAAAAAAATACTAATCGTTGACGTGAATATTAACATTTTTGAATACAAGGTTATTAATTAATGACTTTTTAACTGACATTAAATGACATAGCATTAGGTACATTTAAATGGAAAATAATGTGATTCAACAATTTACATAATTTCAAAGTTCTAATCTCTTCACGCTATCTTTAATTATTCATAATAAATTACTAAATAATTTCTGAAGCAGTTGATGTGCTAACATTGAATAGAAAATTGTAATAGTACATTAATGCTAATGATTTAGATTATTTTATTTTTTTTTTTTCTATCATTGGTGTTTAAGAAAAATATTGACAAACTTCTTGATTACTATGCATACAATAATTATTTCCAAATAGGAATATTTTTTCTGTCAAATATATCTTCGGTATTTTTTTTTTTTTTTTTTTTTTTTTAATCGTTATCTAATGATCGACTGAAAAGTTATTAATAAGATATTAAATCTTATATTTATTTTATTTTTTTTTTTTTTTTGATAAAAATTATTGAAGCATATAAACAATTTATATGTTTGTTTAAATTATTTCTATTCTTTTAATCGAATTTATTAATTTAATATTAATTAATTTAGAAATTTGTTAGTTGTTGAAAACATTTCTCATAGTAGAATTAAATTATGATAGCTTTKATATTAAAAAAAAAAAATTAATAATAATAATAATTGAAGTATACGAAATAATAGAACCAAATATTATTGAATAGAAAAATTGTACTATTAATAATAATAATAATAATTTAAATAAAATAACGATATATAGTAATTGTTATTAAATGATTGCTGAGTTGTTATAATAAATAATACATTTAATATTATTTTTTTACTTTTTTTTTTTTTTAATTCATATTATTAAAGCACATTAAAAACACATATATTTGTTACAATTATTTTTATTCTTTTACTCGAATTTATTAATTTAATATTAATTAATTTAGTAATTTGTTTTTTGTTCAAAACATTTCTCATATTAGAATTAAATTATGATAATTAGTATAATAATAAAAAAAAAAAAATAATTTAAGTATACAAAATTATTGAACAAAGTATTATTAAATAAAAAAACTTGTACTATTACAATAATAATAATAATAATAATAATTTATATATAATAATATATAGTATCAAATATGTACCCATAATTATGAAAGTGATCTAATGTAAGTCAAAATTAAAAAAAAAAAAAAAATGAGTTTATTAGTTATTACACACCACATTATTTGAAACTAAATAAATTCAATGTAATTTTCACGATGTTAATTGTTATAAAATAAATCGATCAATAATAGTATTTGTTATTTCAATTTTACACAAAATTCATATAATGTTCAAATAAAAATTATTAAATATCTCAAAACAAGAGATACATGTAATTTATAACACTTTTATAATTATGAGCACATATATATTATAAATATACAGTATGAAATAATACGTTGATGTATAGTTTGTAATTAATATTAATTTCTTGTTTGTTTTGTTATTTTTATTTTTATTTTTATGTTTTTTTTTTAGAGAATATAAATCATCACCAAATCCAATGAAAGAGAATTACTTGTTGAGTGTTTTTCTTGGTGATATTATTGGCAGTCCAAGACTTTGTCATCAACTAGCAAAAAGAGGAAGGGCATGTGATGATAATATTTTAGCTGATTAGTAAAAAATAAATTAAACGTGTAGTTACGTGAGTTGAAGAAATCGTGTGATTTCACAAGGATTTGTAAATATTGTATTGCCATAAACGTTGTGTTGATCATCTCTTACATTAATTTTTCTTTTATTTCTACAAATTCTTTATTTTTATTACTTGTTGAAATATCCAAATAGAAAAGAGAAAAAAAAAGAACAGATAAAATATATATTTTGATAATGTACATGTATATGTAAATTATTGACATATGTAATTTACACTTAGGTAATATTCTTTTTTTGTTTTGTTTTTAATACAGTAAAGTTAAACTAGGTTTTTTCATGTGATCAAGGTACAAATATTTCAACAGATGTTTTACATCATATTATTATAAACATGATTTACAAGATTTATGATAGTAAATATTAGTATTGCACATGATTATTAAGTTTCTTGACTTGTATTAGTTTCATTTCTGAGTTTTACTTAATTGGTTATCTGTAGAAATGTCTTAGAAATGTATTCACCTTAATTGTGTCAATGAAATATAATTAAATATATAATTTACATAAAAAATTTTATGAAATTATAGATAAGATAAGAAGTTTATTTCAGGTATACCCTTTTAGGGTGTGTA